TTTTTTTTTTTTTTTTTTTTTTCCGGACATCTTGCCCCTGCCAATGCAGTCCGGACAGTCCAGTGTCCCATACTATCCGGTCCCTGGCACTGTCCGGTGTCCGGGGCTGTCCAGACCGGTCCAGACACAGGTCCGGAAAACAGTCCGGAAATGTCCGGTGTCCGGGTCCGCGGTTACCATGGGGTGATCCTCTTCTTTTATTTTTATTTTTATTTTTATTTTTTATTCTGTTGATAAGGACCGGGAGGAAAGTATAGTTTGGTTGGTTACCTACCTGCGTTTTCCCTCCCACCCAACCCTTTGCCGGCATTCCCGGTTTGGTACAGTGCGACGTCAGCAACAATGCCACATCAGCAGTGCCACGTCAACAGTGCCACATCAGCAACAGTGCCACGTCAGCAGTGCCACATCAGAAGTGCGACGTCAGCAACTGTGCCACGTCAGCAGTGCCATGTCAGCAGTGCCCCGCCAGAAGCGGCTCAGCCACTTGGCAACCATCCACGGCGTCCAAGTCGCCGATCTATCTAAGAAGATCTCTTGGGACGAGTTGACGAAGCTATGGAAGAAGCGGTTCATCGTGGACGACGCCCTAACGCTCGCCATCAACCGCCTCTTCAGCATGACTCAAGGCAACACACCAACACGTGACTGGCTCACAGAATGGCAAAAGATCGTGGCAACGCCCGATCTCGAGTTGCCATTTTCGCATCTGCGCCGAGAGTTCTACAACTGGTCATGTGCCGCCTTGAGCCTCGCACTTGGTGATCGTGAGCAATACACGACCTTCGCCGAAATCATCGACAAGGCAAGGGAGATCATCAAGACCAACAGGGCGGCTGCACACGAGAAGTCAGCGTGGCAGCCAACCTGTGTGGAGAAAGGAAAATTTGGTCCGCGTCCGCAGCATGTCGCTGCAGTCCAACCAAACAACATTGTGGAAGATCCGGCAGCCACCCAAGCGTCAAGTGAGGGAGATCAGGTGGCCGCTGTCCAGTCGCGAAGCAACAACAACTCCCGAGGAAAAGGGAAGGCAAAAACCGCATCGCCGGCCGGAAACGGACAGTCAGCACCATGGGTCAAGTTTCACTTGACCAAGGCCGAATACAAGTGGCGCGGTCGGTATGGCTGCTGCTAATGGCGCAACAGCACGAAGCACAAGACCTCCCTATGCCCGGATCAAGGCAAGGAGGATGTTCGGCCTCGCATCAACTCAGGAAACTGAGTTGCGCGGGAGGTGAGGCGACTCCACCTCTCACTCCGCCAGATTTGGTCGCCTTGCTAGCGGCCTCCTACACATCTGGGGAGGATGTGAATGCCGCAAGTCCTGGGTTCACTTACAAGGATTATGTTGTCCACTTGGTCCCACTGTTGGACCAACCACTCCACGTGCAACAATCCACCGCATGCACGGTTTCACTACCATCGACAACCGATTCGGCAGCTTCGCCGCCATCTATCATCGGGGATTTGACATCATGGTCAAGACATGAAGAGTTGGACCCCTTGACATTTGCGGACTTCCAATGGATGCCCCTTCCCCCGTCCGGTCGATTGCCGAAACCGCATTGCAATGTGCTCATGGCACAATTGCAGGATTACTTGCACATTGCAGTACCAACTCCGTTGATGGATGTCGGAGTAGAGGTTGTCGACCTTCACGACTACGTTGCGAAGATCGACCGCGAGTTCAAGACACAACGGTACGGCAACATCGATGCGCCATTGTTATACATACGCATTCAGATCGGAGAGGCAACCTGCAGCGCTTTGATCGATTGCGGAGCTACTTGCAACTACATGAGTCAAAACTTTATGGTACGCGGTGACCTTGGATCACGCATTCGTAGGAAGTCGCAGCCCACTCAAGTCACGTTGGCCGAAGGTCACACGCACAAGTCAATCGACCGGTGCATTGATGCCGTCCCCATGTACTTTGCTCCGAATGTCGTGTCCTTCGATATTTTGGACACCAAGTTCGACATGATTTTGGGCATGTCATGGCTGTGAAGCGAGGATCACCCGTGAACTTCTATCACTGCACCGTTCACGTTCGTGATCAGAACGGAGTACTGGTCCCATGCACGGTGCCTCCTCCTCACCCTTCGATCAGTTGCCATGTGGTGTCCGCCGCAAGCATTCGAGCTTCCATCATCAGGGATGACATCGAGGAGATCGGGGTGTGTTTTCTCCACGCCCTCCCGCCCCATGACATTCCATTGACGGACTCGTCACCAGACCCACGCATCACCGAGCTTCTCGACGCTTACGGCGACCTGTTCGAAGCCCCGCACGGAGTAGTACCGGATCGGCCCATCTGCCACGAGATCATCCTCGAGGCCGGGGGCGAACCTCCGCGTGGTTGCATCTACCGCATGAGCGAGGAAGAGCTAAGTGTGCTACGGCCACAACTCGACGACCTTCTCGAGAAAGGTTGGATTCGGCCTAGCTCTTCGCCATACGGTGCTCCCGTTCTCTTCGTCCGGAAGAAGAACATGGATTTGCGGTTGTGCATAGATTATCGCAAGCTCAACGCGCAAACCGTCAAGAACGCCGGCCCTCTTCCGCGCATCGACGACCTCCTCGAACGGCTGTGCGGCGCCAAGTTCTTCTCTAAGCTTGACCTCAAATCGGGATATCACCAACTCGAGATCCAACAGGAGGACCGCTACAAGACCGCGTTTAAGACGCGATATGGGCATTTCAAATGGTTGGTTATGCCTTTTAGCCTTACAACTGCCCCGGCCACATTCCAAGCAGCTATGACAACCGAATTCTGACACATGCTGGATAGATTCGTACTCATCTACCTCGACAACATCTTGGTGTACAGCCGGAGTTTGGACGAGCACGTGGAGCACATGCGCACCGTTTTGGAGCGGCTACGACAAGCCAAGTACAAAGCCAACCGCGACAAATGTGAATTCGCGCGGCAAGAGCTGGAGTACTTGGAACATTATGTGACGCCGCAAGGCATCTGTCCGCTTGCGGACAAGATCGAGGCCATCCGCGTATGGCCCGAGCCCACCAACACCACCGACGTTCGCTCATTCATGGGGTTCGTGGGCTACTATCAACGCTTCATCATCAAGTACTCAAGGATTGCCGCACCTATGACGATTTGTTTTTTTTTTTTTTTTTTTTTTTTTGAGATACCGAGGCCATTACCCGGCTTCGACTGAGAACAATCTGTGAACACGATGAGATTCAGAAACATGGGGAGGATCCTGAGTATCTAATGCCTATTAGGGAATTACTCATGCAATAAACTGCCACAGAGGTCCTATGAATGCTCACTACCCTCAAGTTCCCTAACAAACCCTTCTAAGACTTCCCAACACCGTCTTACTCCCTGTTGAGCTCTTCCAGGCCTCACGCCCCCACCCTGCTAGGTTACAGGGCAACACAACTCGGCCCAACTCCGACCAGCGTCATCCCAATAGCAACCCTCGGTCGTCCCTTGGGATGCCCACCCCAAAGCATCCCCAGATCTCTCTACCAGGCCTCACGCTCCTGCATCAGCAGGTTACAGGGCAACACCCCAGCACTGGTCAGCGTCGTTCTGGCATCGAACGGCCACGGATCACTGAGTATAACAACATCGAAACCGCCTACGATGGCTTGCTAAGAAACCCTAAAGTCCTAAGACATTCATAAGAACAACCGACTTTTTTTTTTAATCAGACTCTACCAAGTCAATAGAATATGTGTGTCAAAAAACCTCCCCATCACAAATCAAACAGGTGAAACCTATTCAATCCACCTACGACCACCACCAACATGGCTAATTTCAGCACGAACCAAAGCTCTTCCAGGCCTCATGCTCCCATCAGGTTAGGTTACAAAGTTGCACCACCTTGCTCCAGCACCGGCCAACATTGCTCCAGTTACGACCCCGGATGACCACTGGGACTGCCCCCGCAAACAGCCCCCCAGAGCTCTCTACCAGGCCTCACGCCCCCACTAACCTAGGTCACAGAGTTGCACCACCTGGCTCCGGCTCCGGCCAGCGTTGCTCCAACATCGGTCTTCGAGGGCCACCGACTTTTCAACCACCCCTCGCAGGATCACAGATGGCTTGCCAGATAACACCTATTCCTACAACCTCCTCGAGAGGCAACCAAATGGAAAGCTATAGTAAACTGGATGATAGATTTCTTCGAGAGAGATCACCCCTCCCTCCCCCTACCCCTCCCCCCTCAGCCCTACACTGCCTCCGCCGAGGAAAGTCACCCACTCTCCCTCGGCCCCAATATAGGACCAATCCTCTCCCCCCATGTCCCCAGGAGCACGCAGTTCCCACCTAAAGCATGCCCCCCCGCCCCTTGCCTATTTCCGCCTCCGCAGGGACTGATGTTGACCCACACACAGTCCTTGCCCCAGAATAAGGCAACCCCCTACTCCGCCCCTACCCTCTTTGAGACATTCACTCCCCACCTTGCGATGCCCCTGCAGGATAGAGCTTCCCCCACACCCTTCCCACCGTTCAGCCCTCCGGGAAGAATCCGATCCAGCCGACTACAGTTATTGATGACACACTTACCAAAATATCATTCGCTTGGATTTTGTTGGATTTTGTTGATGACGATGGACAACACCGTGAAGACGATGATAATGAGAATGATGGTGGCAACCAACTCACCTGCTGATGCAGAGCAACATCTAATGAAAACAAGCTGATGATGATGATGATAATGATGAGAATGAAAACAGAATGATGATGCTGATCATACCAAAGAGCAGCACCAACAGCCCCTATGATTACAAACTGATATCGCCAAAGGTGCCATTCGTATTCGATGACAACGCACGCCGGTCATTCCAAGCACTCAAGACGACCATGCTCATGGCACCCGTCCTTAGCATCTACGACCCTACCCTGCCAACGAGAGTGACAATTGACGCTTCCGGCTATGGCATTGGGGTAGTCTTGGAACAACACGACGGCGAAGACTGGCACCCCGTGGAGTATTTCAGCCACAAAGTGTCTCCCACCAATTCACTTGATGATGCAAGGAAGAAGGAACTGCTCTCGTTCGTGATGGCTTTCAGCGATGGCGGCACTTCCTCCTTGGGCGTAGTAGGTTCACATGGGTCATGGACAACAATCCATTGACCTACTACAAGACGCAGGATACGGTGAGTAGCACAATCGAACAATGGATGTACTTCATCGACCAATTTGATTTCACACCGAAACATCTCGCCAGCCTCTCCAATCGCGCAGCAGATGCACTCTCACAAAGACCTGATCGTGCCTTCGCGTTCGACGACAAACTCCAGCGACACTTCATCTGGGGCTATGAGTCCGATCCGGATTTCGCCACGTTGTATGCGCAACTATCTTCGGATCACCCGCCGACCAGCCACTATCGCATCGTCGACGGATACTTGCTTCTCCACTCGCGAGGCAAAGACTTATTATATGTCCCACGAGACCGTCGTTTTCGGACTCGCCTTCTCGGCGAGTACCATGACTCGCAACTCGCCGGCCATTTCGGAGTCAATCGCACTATTGCACGACTTCGGCAACGATTCCGATGGCCCGACCTCATTACCCATGTCACTCTTGTGAAGTTTGTCGACGAGGCAAGCCCCGCAACCGCAATCCCTATGGCGAGTTGCGCCCGATGCCTATCCCTCGGAAACCCGGCCTCTCCATTGCCATGGACGTCACCGGACCATTTCCCCGCGACCGCCTCGGGCACGACGACATCCTCACGGTCGTTGACCATTTGAGTAAGTACGCGCAGTTTCTCTATTGGAGCTGGAATTACCGCGGCTGCTGGCACCAGACTTGCCCTCCAATGGATCCTCGTTCAAGGAGTTTACGACTGTTCTCATTCCAATTACCGGACTCGAAAGAGCCTAGTATTGTTATTTATTGTCAYTACCTCCCTATGTCAGGATTGGGTAATTTACGCGCCTGCTGCCTTCCTTGGATGTGGTAGCCATCTCTCAGGCTCCCTCTCCGGAATCGAACCCTAATTCTCCGTCACCCGTTACCACCATGGTAGGCCTCTATCCTACCAT